TTGGTTTATATCATGTTTTAAATTTGGCAGACACATCAACAGCAACGGATACTTTATTTTCAGTTCAGACAAACCATTTTGTTTAACTATGGCTGGAAAAAGCCCTGAACTGCATGGCAGTACAGATTACAGGCTGAGCTTTTTTTCCTTCATAGAGCAATGTGAAACATTTTTATTTCAGGTCTAGCATAGACCACAGACTCTGCTCTTCATTTGCAACATGGTACAAGCAAGTTATTAGAAGCAGAAGTGCAGAAAGACCACAGTAAATTGCTTTTGCCTTTTTATATAGTGACCCATGGCTGTGGTCAGGAGAAAACAATATTCTCTAAAGAGATCTACAGTCTATTTCTCTGTTTTACATACTGAAAGAGTGCAGAGCACTGTGAGAATTGTAAAACAAGGCAATGTGCAGTTAAAATAAAGTTAGACAGTGCCATAATGTATATGCTCAGGTGGTAATCATCAATCTGGCATTTACTGCTGCCATGCCTGCGTGGTTTTTCATTAGGACACAACTGCCCAGGGTGTAGCTGCAAACCTGGGTAGCTCTGGCTTGTATTAAAGGATAACTCCCGAGAACCTGAGGGAGGTTTTATCGAGATCAGCTTCTGGCCTTACTCTCCTCTTACGCCCAGTAAGTCTGACACATAACAGACATTCCTATTATCAGTGTAGGATAAGATTTAGGCTTGATCTCATTTAAATTTTATCAGCATGGCTGTTGATCAGCTGTTGTTATTCACACATCTCTCCCAGTCCTAGAGTTATCTCTTTAACTGCTGTTGTACTGATGCCAGGGAATGCCAGTAGAAACATTTTATACCTGTGTAATTGGATCCACGCTAAAGTGATGGAAATAATGATAAAGCCAAAAGCTGGTCTTGTCAGTGCGGGGAATTTTATGACAGAAATCTGTCTCTATGGGCAGGGGTTCAGGCTACAAGTGACTGCCAGAGCACTGCATGGAGGCAGAGCTAAGCCATGGCAGCTGCTGCCCTGTGCCCAGCCCCTGGGGACACAGGACAGGGCAGCTGAAGGTGACAGAGCCACCAGGCCCTTGCCAGGGGCAGAGGGCACTGACTTGGCCGCCTGCTGGGGGCAGATGATGGATTAACTTGTTGAGCTTCAATAACTTGTGAGTGACTCCGAGTCCCCTCTTTATGTTTCCAGCAATTCTGGTCACCCTGAAATGCTCTGAAGGAAGAGCAGCTTTTCTCAAGTTGGCCTTACCCTGACTTTTCATTTATTCGAGGCACACAAAGAAAACTTATCGAAACCATGGCAGTGACTTTTGTTCAGTAGCTCTCTTCTCTACAAAATTAATGTAAAAGAACACAAACATAAAAAATTATTCCTGACAAAGAATTCAAAATCTGTGTTGAAGATAGCAAAAGTTCAGTAACTGAAATAGTGGTGCTCAGAACAAGTACAGTAATAAAGATCTCAGCTACCCTGAGGAGAGAGGTACCCTATCTCCTAACTCTGAGTTCTTTATTTAATGCTCTTGATAATGATAATGATGATAACAATGATGATGAGGATAAATATCTCTGGATTATTTCAAAATTTTAATCATTCAAATTAACTTTGGTACTGAAGCAGAGGCAATTTTTCAGGGTTGTGCCAAAGATTCCTTCTTGGTCTGGACACAGAACCTGGCTTCTGCCTTATCAGACAATAAAATTATTCTTCCTCTCAAATTATGACCCAATATATTATATATATATTATTTGATATATATTATTTGATACTATTGGATCAAATGATGTTCCTTCAATAATATAAAGTTAGTGTAATACATAAACATAAATAAAATTATAAATTTTCTGGTGTACTTAGATTAATAAAACTTCACAGTATAACACAAAGGGTTATTTTTGTTCATGAGTTTATGTGCTATAGAAAAATGAAAATAACTTTAAAAATGTTAATGACCTAATTTGTGATCATACCCTGAGAGGTGTGGTCTTGAAAACTCACTTTAAAATGTTTCCAGAGAACACAAGTAAGAATATTAGCAAAAAACCCTAGCAGCATTTAATGCAAAATATATTCTCTAGGATTGTATGCTTTAAATGCATAAAGATTTATTGAACTTGGACCATATATGGGATTAATACATTTTTGCCAGTCCCTTGATTTCTAGTTTCTTTGCCAAACAATTTTGAACAATGGTGATGATTTATCCTGGCCCTCCACAGTTCTGTTTTCATTTTTCAGTTCAGTTTCAGAGGAAGTTCATGAAGTTTACGGTGCTTTTGTGCCCAAGTTTTGCAATTTATACTGATACAGTTAAAATGTCGAAACATAATGTTAATTGATTATTATTATTTTAAAAACAGTTACAAGAGTTCAGGAGGGTGAAATCTCACTCCCATAAATTCTCCTTGCACCAGGTCAACTACAGCTTTTATTACCATGACCAAAGCTGTAACTGCCATAGTAGTGCAACCAATTATATCTATTTTTAAACTGAATATCTAAGACACTTCAGAAAATGTCACCTGTATATTTTTGGCCTCGTGTTTTTGTAAAGTAACAGGTATAAGTAACCATCTTTTGAAGTAAGCTCTTCCCCACCACTAAGTACAAGTACAAAGTTGCTTGCTTCTTTAAATTATATTTATTATGACCTTCTGGAATGGAGTATACACTAATTTCACTGGATAAATGGAAATTTGAGCCCTCTAGGCTATATCCATAGCTACTACTTACAAAAAATAATAACCATGTGTTGCAAAAAACCAACAAAATGCTTTGTTGTCAATTGTCTTACTATATACATCAAATGCATTATCTGCAAGCTGTCATGGTCCAGTTCTGTGTATTATTTCATTGTATTTCAGAATTACTAGGAGCAAGCATAAGAAAAATATTTAATCTGTTCTGGTTTTCCCTTCAAATTCTTCAGTCTGAGAAATTATGTGAGCTGACAACTTGGTTTCAGCATGGAAAAGGTTTAGGACAGCAAATATATATATATTTTTTTTGCCCCAACAGGGATTTCCTTTCTTTAGCAACAAGAAAAATGCTATATAAGACTTAAATGAGTTATCTTCTACTGCACTGAAATCTAGATTTTAAACTCAAAACCAAAGGAGACCTGGGCTAAGCTTAATTAGACACAGGTCCATAAAGTCTCGACAAAACTGACCGATCAATGTATTTTAAGCTGTTTACTTTTTTCTTTTGCTGTTTGCTCTAAAATTCCTGTGAGTATATAACCAGCATTGCCTTTTTTTTTCCTTTTGGACACTAATTGAGATATATCTTAATTTGAAGCCTCCTGAGGGACATTTCCCTGGGCGCTTCATTGAGGTTGTTACGCGAGATCACGACTTGCATCAGGCTTGCAAGGTCAAAGCAGCGTCCCAAATAATCAGTAACTAGGCAGCGAAATTAAGTTGTAGCGATTAAAAATACCGCGTGTTTTTGGGTTTTATTTCCCGTTTGACGCTAAAAAGGACCTTTTTTCGGTAATTTTTGCGTCGCGAAGCTGTTGGAGGCCGTGAGGAGGTAGCGCTGCCTGGGGCGCCCTCTAGCGGCGCCGCTGTGGGAAATGCAGCCAGCGCCGGGAGCAGGCCCCAGCTCCTCATGGCCGAAACGCGGCACCGCCAAAATAAAGGATTTATAACGCCGCACCGCCAAAAGAAAGGATTTAAAACCCCTGTGGGATTGCCAACGCCTTAAACAGTGAGGAGTAGGGTGAGATACTGTACAAAAAACACCGTTCTGAGAAATAGGTAAAGCATCTTCTGATGCGAGGAGCCTTCCTCTCTTCTGTTTCATTGAGAATCCTGACGAGCCATGGGCATGAGCGTTACCAACAGGTGTAATTTTGGTGAAAAAAAAAAGCCAAAACAAACCTACATGCAATTCTAGACTTCGACTGGCAAAACATCTTTTTCAGGAAGCAGGATTAAGAGTCTACACAAAATAGCCAAAGCTGAACTGAATGAGCATAATGTCCTACGATGCCAACCCAAAGCCCAGGTAGCACTGCCACATCTGTACTGATACCTCGGTGTTCTTGTCAACAAACAAACCGAGGTATTTCCCTGACCCTGCTGTGGAAGGAAGGTCTGGAATGTTACATAATCCTGTGAAAACCTTAATGCTGAACCTTTTGTTCTCTAAATTGAAGGAAAGGAATCCACATCCCGGTGGCAAGCATTTCTGCATAACTCTTTCTGTTCAAAACAATGCCAAGCATTTTTAAATGAACATCTTCACTGACTGCTGAGATACAGCAATCCCTGGAATGGGAATTACTAAACCCTTGGCAACATTACATAGCTGGAAGCATCCATGGCCATTCTCTGCTATTATTTTGCCCCTGCAGCAGAAGTTTGTTCAGCAAGTCCTGCCTTGTATTTGCATTGAATGAATAAAGTTCTTGATGGGGTCCAGGTGAGTGTTCTGTCTCAGAAACTCTGTTTTGCAAAGCAATTCTTTCATTCTCTAACCCATGAGGGAGTCAATTCTTCAAAGTTAGGGTCAGAGAATTGTGAGACTATGGACATGAGTTCCTCTTTTTCTCTGGTGAGCAGTTTTGGTACTTGGATTACAGAGCATGGGAAACCAGGGAATATAATTTCCTGCAAATCACACATGAGACTGATCTCTCTTTGGTATTATACCACCACCAATACCACTGTTATTAAGGTGATGTCAAAAGGGATCCTAAAATAAATATATCCTGTTACTAAAGAGTAATGTTCTTCACTTTTGCAGAACACAACATACTCAATATCTTAAGAAATCCAGGTCTGATGATGATTTATAAGCACTTTATTTCAACAGGTCTTTGCAAGACAATACAAGGAGATCTAGGCATGCAACATACTCATAAAATCAATTTCATTTCTGAATGTAAAAATTTTGAGCTATATCAAGCAATATCTGCATATGTTTTTATCCAAACATAATTTGAGCAATATTTAAAATACTTCTGCTACTGACATATTAATTTCTATATTAATAAGAACCTGTCAGGCATGGGAATTAAAACACTTGCCAAAATCCAGATTGAAGAGAGAAGCCTGGTAGAAAAGGAAGATGGATCTTCCAACATCCAGATCAGTGCCCGACTTACTGCACCCCGTTGTTGTACAGGTATGGTCAGAGTAAGTATCTCCCTGCTTTGTTATTGCCCTGCACAGTCACAAGGAGAAAAGTTCTGTACCTTGGCACGGTCACTTCTGTCATTTCTCCAGAAGAAACAGCTCTTTTCTACCCCGGTGGTCATAAATTCAAAATCTCAGTCATGACTCTAGCTGATTATTCTTTAATTGCACACGCAATTCAGCTGAAAGGAGAATGAATAAAAACATATTTATTTAAGGCCAACCAGTATTTGGAGCCCTGTAATGAATATTAAATAGTATTTAAAAATATTTATATGTTAAAATAGTTTAAACAAGCCACTAAAGTAAGGAGGGGGAGAAAAACAAAAGGATGTGACTTTTCTTGCTAGTAAGTAAAATATCCTGCAAAATATCCTGAAGGTTTATTTTTTCTTTTACAGGAAATCACTTGTAATTGCATTAAGTTGGAAGGAAATTTATTTTTATTGTGGCAGGTAACAGAATAGCCTTTTAGTATCTTTTGTTTGGAATATTTGAATAGATATGCAATCCTGTTAGTGTGCATCATTCTGAAATTTATAGCTTTCCAGTAGAAGCTAATTTAAAATAATGAAAAAAAATATTGTTTATTCTAGCATTTTTACATGTCTAGACTGCTTCTTAAACACAAGCTGTGCTGTAAAGTACAGCTAAAGACACAATATATTTCAGTTTTCTTAGTTTGTTTCTATTTTGCAAGACATAAATCCCCAGACACTCTTAAAGATGCAAAGAACAGCACAGTGCAACTTGTTACGTTTACAAAATGTATTTAAATGAACAGTTTCTGCAGATTCCTATTACTCAGTTTGCTGTTATCAAGGACAGGTATTTCATTAATTCCTAGCTGGAAGACTGGGTCTGATTTTGATCTCATTTGAGTCGTTTTAAGCTGCCACCTGTATTGTCATGGATATCATTGCTGCTGGGTGCAGCAGGGAGCTGGGACCGCCAGTTCCCCCTGCCCTGCCTGGCACAGCCCCTGCCAAAGCCCTGCCCTTTGGGTGTGAGTACAGCAACTCTCAGAGCACAGCATAAAAAATAATGCATTTTATACATAATTCATGGCATTTAAAAAACATTGTCACTTGACAGCTGAGTTGATAATAAAATTAGTTTGTTCTACCTCCCGCTGATAAGTAAGAGACTTCCAGAGCTCTGTGTTTTAATGGTTCTGGCAACACCTCTGTGAGATGATAACCACCACTGGTGCCTGGCTCTGCCTCAAAAATCTGTGTATTTAGAAATGGAGACCCTTCCAGAAATAATGCAGTCCAAACTTTCTCCTTATGAGCAGTAGGTGCATAATGTCTCCAGTCCTGGAATGGAAGGAGTAGGGTGTCACATAGACATGTGACAATTGTTCATCTCGATTTGTGGCTCCAGGGTTTCTTTTTTTATACATATGTGTCATTTCTAGTTATTGTTGTGTTTGACATAAAGGGATTTGACCTGATGTTATGCCAGTTTCTTGGCCAAAAAATAATATTTCCACAAATAATTTAGAGAAAAGAAGATCAGCCACTGTAATTAAGGAGCACTGCAAAGGGTTGGACTCTAAGAGATCCAGACACGCTGTTTGTGTTATTAGCAAATCCAAACACAGGATCAATTGGCATTGATGGAGCATGGGGCAAAGGAGATAAACATTTCTCCCAGAAAAATTAAACTTGGGAATTTCCATTATTGAGAAGCAGAAGTAAAATCCAGGCTAGTGCTCAAAACCCAAGTGGGACTTAGTTTACATTTCCACTAAATGGGGATGTGGAAAAAGGAGAGAAAGAAATTGTTGCTCACACAAGTACATGGAGAATACGAGTCGTATTTGGGACTGAGGCAAAATCCTAGCAAAAGACGTGGCATGATGTGGTTGCAATTTGTTCTCTGAGTTTTTCTGTTGTTCTGACAGCAAAGAAGAAACAAAGCAGAACTCTGTGAGGCCTTCAGCAGAGAAAGACCTCCAACCTTATCTGTCAGGCTGGTGAAAGGAGCTCCTTTTTGTTCCCTGCACCAGCCTCCACACAGCCTGCATCCCCAGCACTGAAGGGAAGGCTTGTGTCTCTTATTTTCTTGCATAGAGACATAAAAGTGAATTACAATCTTTCTTTGCAGCTGTCATCATGTGGCCTCTCAATGACTTATCTGGCGACCAAAGGAAGGCTACTCAAGCAATATATTTTACGTGACCTTTGCAAAAATGCTGAGAATTCGTCCTACGGGCAGTGCATTTTTATTAACAGGTTTTTCCATGACTGTAAAGCCAGGAGTTGTATAATATCTGTGAGACTCTTACATTCTGAGAAGTTAATAAAAAAACCTGGCATCTGTGGGAAGAAGAAGCACAATAATTGCAATCAGGGGAAGGCAGGGGCAGTCCCTGCTCTGCAAGGCTGCTGGCCCCAAAGTCTCAGGGACCTGCTAGGACACAAACTGCTCTTAATCAGCCACGGTGCTTACAGCATCCGAGGAATGAGCTGAAGGTGCTCTATAGAAACCATAGTTCTGAGAGTTTGTCTGTTAAGTGCAAGTTTTAGAAAGAAAGCAAGCTTGACCTTCACAGTATGCAAAACTTTGGCTCTGGTCCTAGCTCTTTTCACATGTGAATAGTTCCTGTGGGGCCTCTTCGTGTGCTCAGAGTAACAAACAATTTCAGGATTTAGACCTTGATCTGAATCAAGGGTAGCAGCAGTACCTTCTGATGAACAGAAGTATTTTGTTCATATAATTTTCTGCGTGGACAGAATCAGTCTGACCCAAACTCTTCAGTTTTGTGATGTAGCTGCTCTGGTTTGTAAAGGGTTCTTGCCTTTTTCCAGGGTTTCTCCCCAGTATCTGTTAAATAACCCATCTACTCCTTATTCTTTTTTTTTTTTTTTAATGAAATAATGAACTTTTACTAAATTTGACTTCTGGCTGTGCATTTCAAACACAGTTGAGGCAGAATGCTGGATCCACTGTAGCTTAGACACCCTTGGAAAGCTGGACAGGTCATGCCCCCAAGACATGCCCCTCACTTTCCTTTCTGGACTGGCTGATGCTATCGCAGCTGATTGCTCTTGCACAGGACAAACCATCCTGAAGGTCACCTGTGTCCAAGCAATCCACAGAAATCCCTTCCCCAACTGCCTCTTCTTAGGAGTAAAATACAATTGTCCATTATGGACTTTGCTATTTTAGAAATCTTCTGTAACAGCAGCTCGGTGAAATGGGTATTAGCAGGATTGATAGCCAGTCCTCATCTGTATGCCACCATGGTGATGTAAACCAAACACGCAGAGCTGCACTCTGCTTTGCATATTTTAGCCTTTTGTTGTTTCTGTATATCCCATTTTATTACAAAATGCTCAGGAATGTTGATAAATAAGTCTCAGTGACTGGTAGGTGTTACTGTCAGCAGCGTGGTGTACAGCAGCCAGGACACAAACTCTAATTTGTGGGTAATGTTCTGCTTGTACACAACAAGGCACCTCTGCCATCCATATGTACGTGGGACAAAAATAATGAAGTCATAATTTCACTAGATTCACAGAATTTAGCCCCAGTGGAGTAAAATACAATGGGCATTTGGTTAGAGTCAGGCGACTGAAATACGATATGGAAATATGACCTAGAAGAAAAGGCATTACATCTGTTCTGGAGTATTTCAGCATGGTTAATGGCCATGCAATTGTTCATTCCGAGTCCTTATCCAAAGAATCTCATTGAATATATGAGTTAACAGGTAAGATGGAGACAGTTCAGTGAATGACTGGGGATTTTCAGAAGCTGGTTTTAGAACTTGCTCATCCTCTCACTTATATACCTTTATTTCAGAGAAATTCTGGCATTTAAACTATATTTAGCGATAAAAGTGAGGCATCACCTACATCTTGCTACAGTGAAGAAGGTAAATTAAGGCTTTCACAGACATTTTCATACTATTTTTAAAGAAGAACACAAGAAAAATGTGTGCTGTTAGGGTAAGTGCAATGGCTTCTCTTCATCAGAAGAGTTTAAAACTGTCTTGTCACCCAAGTACAGAAAAAATGCTCAGCTATTTACTAATAATTATTGTGTTCACTGAGAAGTGCCTACTGCAGGCATCTGGCAAAATACTGCAAATAATACAAGATACTCAAATTATTAAAATCAACACCACAAATTAACTATTAATTAAACTGTATTTTCACGCAAGCTGAACTCACCACCCCAACCTCACCGTGCCATCCCCGATCCCTGATCACAGCCCGAACCGACTTCCCCCGGCCACCAGCCCCCAGCCCCGGCTGCATCGCCCCGGGCATCGCCCCCAGGCGGAGCCCCCGACCCCAGCGCTGCCCCTCCCGGGGAGCGGGGTCCGGGACAGCCCGGCCCGACCGACACTGGAGGCCGCCCGGGGCCACCCGAGGCCAGCGCTGCTCCCCTCGGCGGCCGGTCCCCGCCGGAGGCTGCGGCACGACCCCCCCGCCTCTGCCGTGCTCTCCCGCATCCCCGAGCTCCGGCCCTAAAGCGGAGCCGAAACGTGCGGGACGCCGGCCCCACGCCGAGCCCGGGTAGCCAGCATCCTCCGATCCCGAACACCCAGCATCCCCCGAACCCGGGCACCCAACACCCCCGAACCCGGGCACCCAGCATCCCCGAGCCCGGGCACCCAGCATCCCCGAGCCCGGGAACCCAACAACCCCGAGCCCGGGCACCCAGCATCCCCGAGCCCGGGCACTCAATATCCCCGATCCCGACCACCCAGCATCCTCCGAACCCGGGCACTGAATATCCCCGATCCCGACCACCCAGCATCCCCCGAACCCAAGCACTCAATACCCCCGAACCCGGGCACCCAGCATCCTCCGAACCCGAACACCCAGCATCCACGAGCCCGGGCACCCAACACCCCCGAACCCGGGCACCCAGCAACCCCGATCCCGAACACCCAGCATCCCCCGAACCCGGGCACCCAGCATCCCCGAGCCCGGGCACCCAGCATCCTCCGAACCCGGGCACCCAACAACCCCGATCCCGAACACCCAGCATCCTCCGAACCCGGGCACTCAATACCCCCAACCCGGGCACCCAACACCCCCGAACCCGGGCACTCAATACCCCCGAACCCGGGCCCCCAGCATCCTGCGAGCCCGGGCACCCATCATCCCCCGAACCCGGGCACTCAATACCCCCGAGCCCGGGCACCCAACACCCCCGAACCCGGGCACCCAGCCCCGCCGCCGGGAAGGTTCCGCTCAGCCCCGGGCGCTGTCCCCCCGCCGCCCCCGCTCGGAGCCTTCTCGCGGTGCCCGTTCGGCAGCGGGAGCGCGGCTCGGCCGGCGGCTGCTCCGCTGCCATCCCGGGCTGCGGCGGGGGCGGTCGGAGCGGGCACCGCCGCACTGACGGGCTGGGAGGGCGGCGGAGCCGGGGGCGGCAGCTCTTCCGCGGGCACGGGCGCTCTCCCAGCCGGGGACAGGCCGAGGGACGATCCCTCGCATCCCCTCTGGCTCCTCCGCCGCGGCGCTTGTGCGGGCGGGGAGCCCGGCGGAGGGAGGCAGGAACGCACCGCCGACGCTGAGCTGCCCGGCCGCCCCGGGCTGCGAGCGCCGCGCCCCGCTGCGGTCCCGCTCCGACCCCGAGTGCCGGTTCTCCCCGCTTTTCCCCTGTCTGGGAGCCGCCCGCCGGGCAGTACCGGAGGGCGGGGGGGGCGCCGGCGGGGACTGGGGCCGCCCCCCGGCGAGGCGGCGGAGCGGCCACGCCGCCGCTTTCGGGGGATTCTCCGAGAGGAGCGGGCAGGGCGGCTCCGGGAGGGGGAACCCCCCTCGGCCCGGCTATTCGCGTCCCCGGCGTCGCTCCTCCTCCTGGCGCTGATGTCAGCCGCGGGGAGGGCCGGCTGGCAGCGGCAGAGCGGGGCGCGGGCGGCCGCGGCAGAGCCGAGCCGGAGCCGCCGCCGCCGCCGCCGCCGGGACAGCGCGGGCTCCGGGGCGCCGCCGGCAGCGCAGCCCGCGCCCCCAGGGCCAGCCGGGCCAGCACCGGGCCAGCCCCGCCGGGGGCCGGGCGAGCGCCCAGCGGCGGCGGCTGCCCCGCGGGGGGACCCGGCGCTCCGCTGTCCGCAGCCGCCCGGCGAGGGAAGGGCAGCCGGGCTGCGCTGCGGAGCCGCACCGAGTTCAGAGTCTCTCCGCGCAACTTGGGTTACGCGGCCGGACCTCTGCGGACTGGTGCGGAGCTTCCAGAGCGCGATTGCCTTTCCGTCGTCTCGCGGCTGCAAAAGCAGATAATTGACTAAATCCAACAGAAATAAAACAAACTCAGGCTACCTAAAAGTTAGGATACCTTTTTTTTCTCCCCCTCCCCGTTTCTTTTACAATTTTATTCCCTATGTGGAAGTCGTGTGTGATTCGCGCTCGGCACGCTGCATGGGAAGAAGCGGCTGGTGCTTTGGATCGAGGATTTGCTGTTGCAGAGCGGTCTAACTTCCATGCAGTGGGGCAGCCTTCACTACTCTGAACGCCTTGATGATGTGCTGAGGAGCCCATGTAGATTGACATCTTGTGCAGAGAAGGCACTTAAGGTAAGAAGGGGGCTTGGGGAAAAGGGGGATTTTTGTACCCTTTTATGTGATATCTTTTGTCCAGCATCCCTCCCCCCCCATTGGAAGCAGAGCCTCAGCGGTTCACCCAGAACAGTATGGATAGGCTGGAACCGATCAAGTAAAATGAAAGTCTGCTCCTGTGAAAAGTGCACGGAGCTCACAAGTGATTGCAAAAGCTGTATTTATTTTTAGTCTGGTCGCACAGCACGGCGAGGATGTGTGCTCACGGCACGGACACTGAGCAACTCGCCTAGCTCAGGAATGAGGAGATCCACGGGCTCAGTCTCCGATGGGCAGTTTGCATTGGCTGCTGCATTTTGTTGAATGTGTACCCCCCGCTACCTCCCTAGAGCATCCCATCAGCCGGTTTGATTTGTTGTTTTTTGCAGATATAGTGCCTACTATTAATGAGAGGGGGTGAGGGATGCGAAAATAAACCCCAAAAAACCCCATATGGAACATTTTATTGATGTGATCATAATCCTGTAATGGAGATTGCATTAAATGAGGATTGCATCAAAATGCCAGGCTGCTGTGGAGAGCAGAGAAAGCAAAAACTATGCTGGATTGTAAATGAAGTTCTTTGATTGAAGGATTGTCTTGAACCATGAAGGGATGTCTGTAAGCTTAAAGTTGCTGTGTATGTGGAGTACTGGAATGGGATGCAAACCAAATGAAGCTGAAATGTGTTTTAATTGACTCAAGCTCTGGATACAGTTAGAATTGGTTAGAGGCATTGCAGTGATGCCCAGTGAATTCTTGGTTTCAGCTATGGAGACCACAGAAAGGCAAGGAGAGAGCAGAACGCAGAGAGACAAGGAGAGAACGTGATCGAGTGGGGAAGGGAAGGATGGTTTGTGACTTTTGCCATCGTGGTTCAGATCTTGCAGCCTGCTGGCTGCAGGCAGAAGCCTTGCAGGCGATGTGGAAGGCAAAGGATTTATCTCTTTCCTCTCCTTTTGCAGCCTGGGTGTAGCTGCCTGTAAAGTAGCTGTGAGGTGCATGGCAGGAGGCAAGCAGGGACCTGTTTGCCCTTCTCGGACACTGAAGGAAACTGAGGCTGGGAGAGATGCAGTCGGCTCAGCTGATCCTGCTTTTTTGAGCTTGAGTTGATAACACATTTTGAGTAATTGTTGCTGCTTATCTCAATCGGCAGAGGAGGGGAGAAGATGTTCAAGTTTATTGAACCAAAGCAGAGCTGAGGACAGTAGATACTATCAGCTCACCCTTGCATTCTTTTTGTGCTCAGTTGTGTTCTGGCATAGAGAACTGAGCCACAAAGAGCACCTTCTTCAAGCCTTACTGAAAGGAAGCCTAAAGACAACAAAAAAGATTAAGTGAAAGATAAATTGTAACTTTTTGCTTGTCTGCAGTGGAAGTAGCATTGATCTGCCAGATTGCACAGGTCAAAAGAGGTAAGATAAGGAACAAAGTTGTTTGTTTATTTATTTATTTATTTGCTAACATTCCCACACACACAAAGAAAGTTGGCGTGCGGAGAAACATCCCAGAGCACGGATGCACCATGGCTGAGCACCACCCAAGAAACTGACATAAAGAGCAGAGAAATTCATGTGAGAACCCTCAAGAGCCCCTGTCTGTAACTGCAAAAGAGTTGGTTAAATGCTAATTTGCAAACCAACCCTGAACAGCCGATGTTCTCAGGAGGAATTTGCTTTCCCATTTGTGTACAGAATCTCAGGTAACATCTCCAGAACTCAGTCTCTCTCTTGCTGTGTTTTTGGCATAAAGTTGAGACGGAAACACTTATTTTAAATAAAATGAAGAAAAGCAGTATAAGCCTGCTGAATTCCTCTTAAGCATTTTATTTTGGCAAAAGGCAACTTTTCCTGAATTGTAAGAGATAGGTTTAGAATATTCATGGCTTAACTCCAGGGAGCTTAGTGTTAGCTCAGTAGGCAGAAGGTTCTTTCTCTAAAGAGGTATCTGGAAAAGACATGTTTAAATTTCAAGCCATATTCAGTAGAGACTGTTGGTTTCCACATTTTAAAATCATTTTTTTATGCCTCTTAGGGGAATGATGCTTAATCTGGGCAATAAAGCAAGTATTCCTAGCTTGCTTTTTTAATGGAAAGAGTGTGCTCCAACTGTACTTCTGTATGTCCAATACTCCAGATTTTACTCTATTTTTTATCAAATAACAGCTGTGGAAGAAATTTTGTCCCTTGAAACCATGGTTATCCATGCAGATCTTGGTGTGTATTTTTGCTACAGAAGAACTCTACTTCATGGCTGCATTGTTCATTCTTGAAGCATTTCTTTAAACGTGAGCCTCTCTACAGTTAAAGGATAATTTATATTCAGTGTAGTACTGTCTGCACAGTGGAATTGGCTTTATACATCACAGCCTCTGCAAAAAAAGAGATCAAAGATCTGAACCTGTGGTCCTGCATTGCATTTGTATTCTAGGTGGACTTGAGTAATCTCATAGTGGAGCCATTCACACTCCCACAGTTAGGAGTGTGTCAGCCTTTCCATTAAAACACCCATTTGCTTAGGAATTTAAGAGCTGGTTTTAAGGACCGGCTCCAAGCTTAAATTGGAACATTCCTACAGTAAAAAGAAAAAAACAGATATCCAAAACAATGAAGTCTAATAGCATTTGGTACTGTTGAGCTTATGGAGAGCTTAGCAGGAAACAACACCTGTATGAAAAATTGAGAGGTTCAAAGGGAAAGAAAACCCGGAAAACCTTTCAAAAGGCCCTTTTGGATCCAGGTGAGTGTTTCTGCCTGAATTTTAAGGGACCCTGCGGATGTTAAACAGTCAGTAGGACTTTTCTTAAAGGAGGACAGCACTGGCTGCAAGCAGGAATTAGATCTCAGTTCAGTTTCACACCCTGTCAGAACGAATGCCTTTGGCACTGATCCAGGCGGTTCTTTGGAGGGTTAAGTTGCAAGAACAATAAACCCCAAACCTTGTAGTGTAACCCATGAAGTTTTCCTTTCAGTGAGCCAAAGAGAACCTTTCACTTTTGAATGGTGCCGATTGTCTGAGCCAGGTGTTGGGAGCCTTTGGGGGAGCTGCTGCTTGCTCTCTCTTGCCAGGTTGCTCACCTGAAACAGCCAGCCCGGTAATCCTGCTTCCTTTCAGCTGGCTGCCAGCGGGGACAACGGCAGAACTCCTTTGTCTAAGGCATCCCAAAGCCTTTTCCTGGGATTACAAGTACGTGTAGATCCAGGAGGAGTTGCTCATGCTATGTAATGCCAAGGAGCAGGTTCAAGATGCAGCTTCCTGTAGTCTAAATATTTTAGACTGGATGAAATAAATGAGCATTGTTTGCCATTTACATAAAAATTCTTAAGGGAGATGAATATTCTTCTGTCCCAATTACCTCTTTCTGCAGAGAGTTTGCTGAGGAAATTTGTGGCCATTGTCTTTCTTTTGTGAAGTAGCAGTGACCATGTCTGTCTTGGGTCTTCGAAAACTCATCCTCCTTACAGATACACAGGCGGGTAATATGATGCCAGGAAAAGTTAATGTGAAATTAAAATACAGATGAAGAACACTGTGGGATTTAGTCTGTGGACAAAATCAAATCATGGTAGTTTTAACAGTAAGTAAGAAACTGTGTCACAATTAAGTATTCTTTTCCTTTGAAGTCTGTTGTCGTGTCTGATGAAATCCTGTTGGAAATTATTTCTGACACTCTTCGAAAATATATGATTTCCCATAGATTATGCAAGATTTAACCTTCTTGATCCAACATGTCCTGAGCCAAATCCTTCCTGCAATCTGTGAAAAAATTCCTAGTGGAGCAGAACCTTCCATAACTGCTTTTTGCCTTACATTACGTACATACTTTAACTGCTGCCAGTCCTTCAGGAGTTCTGCATGTCCATGTGGTATTGAAGGCATTGCTATGGAGCAGTTTTGCTTGCAGGGATGGCAGAACTCGGCCAGTTTAACAGCAAATGCTTTACCACCTTTTCAAGGAAGCTCTTTTTAAATGGTTGTTGTTTTCCTTAATTTAAGTTGCAAAGGGAACCTAAGTAACCAGACCATCAAAGAGCCAAATGTGTTGTTAGAGAGACAGATTAATGCTGAAGTCACTGGAGACATCCAAATTCAATAATGAAATTACAAGCAGAGGTGCCCACTGTCTTTAAAAGCCATTGCTGGGGGGTTTAATGTGGCAGTTCCCTGTGCTCAGAAACTTCTGCTTTGTCTTCCTGCCAAGGGAACATCTTGCCTTGTGTTCTACTTTGATGTGATATGGTTGTTTTGGGAAAGATTTTCTTCCTCCAAGCCGGTCTAGAAATAAGATGTCACTGGTGATGTAGTCTGTTTGCATATCAGTGTTTATCTGTTACATCCTTAAGGACATAGTTTTATTATTGTTGTAGGAATTTAATTAGTAATTATGTACGCTCGATGCTGTCTACTGGAGTAGCAGGAAATACATGCTAAAGGGGAAAAAAATCAAGTGTAAGTTTATAATGCTTATGCACAGCATATTTCATTTACCCAACTGTGCCATCTTGTTAAATAAATAAATGTATATGTATGGAAATGTATGATGTGCTGGGTACGTGCTCTCACATGTGGGCACGCTGCAGCCACATGCACTCATGTTTCCAGCTGTAGTCCCTGGCACAAGACACAGGCATGCCCACCCCAAGGAAAGGATGAAATGCTTTGGGAAATTATGAAATGCTTGGGGGATGACTGAA